AAATCTTTTTAAACGAAATATTATTAACGGCTACATTAAGTGCGTCGCGTAATATCTATAAATATAACGCCGAACAGGATTATTCACAAATTTTGAGCCGTAACGAGCGGAAGTTATATAATGTAAGAGTTTCTAATCTAAAACACGATTTACGCGTATCGGCGTGTAATCTCTTTTAGCCGCCTCTATTACAGAGGTATAATTGCAATTTTCTATCGCAAATCATCTGGACGTTTTACTGCTTGGCGCGATAGAGTCTCTCGCGTGATGCCGCCGCGTATTCCCTTCCGCGAAATCCGCTCGGAGGAGATGCCCGATTCTCTTTCGTATAAATTTGTTTACTCTAAATTATGATTCTAATAGATACGGTCGCGTGTCTCCCGATCGTTTCTTCGTCGGTGCATCGAACAAAGAAGGCAGCATTATCTCCGAATGGAGGCGGACGGTCTTGTCAGCTGTACTCGTCGCGTGATAATCGGCAATTACGACCGACGCCGTATCGATCAGCAGCGATGGCGCGGATTATTCGCCGATGAATTCGGATTCTTGTCTGTTTCGACGATTACGTGAAATTAGAAATTCTCTGTGTTCGAGAAGCAGCTCGAAAGTAAGAAGAAGGATAACAAGCATGATGGCGGATTCATGGCGGTAGCTATATGCAATTTGCATAAATAATATCCATCGATCTATTGGCGATAATAGCTTTCCGCTTATTACCTTGAGACGCGGTATTTGATTTAATTATTATTATTATCGACGACTAATTTTACTTATGACTGTTAGGACTGCCACGATAATGCCTGTCGCGTTATTTTACCGGGGTAAATAAATGTAATTACACAGGCGGAAGAGCGACGAACTGTTATGAATTAAGGAAAATCGAGGGGAACGCTACTTCCAACTGTTCGTATTCTTATTATGGTGTTTCTTGGTAATGAAACAAATAAGTAAATATAATCGAATATGATTTATGGTTTTATTGATAAAATAATGATAAAGTAATAAAACCGCAATTGTGCTCTAACGGAAGTTCCTATCGCGAGAAATAAAATGACACTAGCTTCCGTTAATTCATGACTAGGGGAGCATTTTATAATATAATCAGCTATGTGGGATATATTAATCGTTATTATTACTTAGATAGCATATACGATGATATATAAAATTTTTTATTTATTGATATTGAATAATCATATACATAATGTTCCATTGATAATTTGATTTGCTTAATTATCGAATTAATTACAAACTAATTGACGATATTGATAAATTTAAACGAAATGATATATATAAATTAAAAAGAATAAATGTAAAATTAAATATATTAAATATATTAAAAACTAAATTTTTTTATTTGATAAAAATTATATATAGAAAAAGTTATGTGTAAGAAAATTCTTTGTATTTTGTTTTACAAGTTAAATTTCTCAAAGCTATTACAATCGATGAAGAGAATTAAAAAGAAAAGAAATGATAACGAATATTAACGAGTATTGAAAATTGTATATTATTTCGTAATATCAAAAGAATGTCTTTTGCGTGAATTACTGACTGTTGATTCGAAGATTAGAGCGATGAAGATTTACGTATTTGTTCAGATAACTGCTCTTTTACAGTTTTCTACGGAAGGCGATAGAGTCTGAACTGAAAGAGAGACTGAGAAAAGAGGCCTCTCGCACGCGTTCCTTCACAGTTTCATCGGAATGATGGATGAGTTCTTCGGAGAACCGTCGTCGATAAATCATTGATAATCGTGTTTTTTCACAGTCTGTCTTTATTTTCGCCGTTGTGCGCCGGCAACGCCGCTCGTAAAATTGCGTTCGCGACAGCATCGGGTCCGTCGTCTCGTAAAATACACGCGCTCATGGACGTCATTACCGCGTAATTAACGTCCCCCCTCCCTTCTCCGCGCGCGCGCGCGCCATTCCTCCGCGTAATGAGTTCGAGCGTGGAAATTGCATGCGAATCTTGCCGCGGCTGCCGACATACCGCAAAACCGCATCCGCGAAGTCATTCTTGGCTCCGAGCTATGCGCTCATGAAGAGAGGACCGGTCCGTGTGCGTGTGCGAATCCAGTCGCGTGAATGTACCTGACAGGGAAATTGGGTCGCGTGTCATACCCGTCATCGTCATTTTATACACGTAAGAGTGAACTTCCGATTGTGCCGGCAACGAACGTGGACTCGTTGCCATGTGTTGGACTAACTGTGAAAAACGATATTAGTTATCGGTTGTTGATTGAATACGGTAGAGTAATCTGTCCGGGACAGATAGCCATATGAGGAGAGACGGCCATTGTGGATTCTCCGGTAATTGCCGAGGCGATATGCATGAGTAGTTAGTATAGCGTCACGGCGATTGATTAGAATTGTTTCGCGATTAGCAGCACTTTAGTGGATATGTTAATATGTTTTTTATCCATATTTCTCTTTTTCCGCGTTTTTGTTTATTATGATATACTTCTCAATAAAATAAAAAGATCGTTTTAAATTAATGTTAAAAATGAGGAAAGATAAATTTATATCAAAATTTGGAGGATTTTTTATTCCAAATGACACTATTTTCAAATTGATTATACAAAGTCGAAAGGTCCAACTTCGAAATTAATGAAATTTAAAAAATTGTTTTTAATTTATGACAGTTTGAAGGTTTGAACATTTTTCTTTAAAATACGTTTTTGGAAATTGAACCACAATTTCTTGTTATCGAGTTATTACGATTTGAAGTGACCATTAAATTTTTAATTTCTTTTTAATAGAAATAGCATTTTCTATGTTATACAGATTCTCTCAGAAATTATGTATTTTCTCTAAGTCGTTGATATTGAGATGAATAATAATAGTTTGAATAAATAATCACTAAATTATGAATGACTAGACATTAAAAAATTTCGCGATTTATGTTTCAGAAGCAATCGTCTAACATAATTTTATGTGCTCCAATTAATCCTAAGTAGAATTATCTGAGCAAATTTTTCATCTAGTCTACGTAACTCCTGAGAATAATTTTGTCGTAAATTCAAATTGCGCGTTAATTTATTTGCGTATTTGCGTGCGGAGTAGTCCACGTGCGTTTCGCGTGGCTGCAGCAGACACGTTTTCGTGTCGGGACAAACGCGGCTCGTCGTCACTTTTCGCGCGTGCACGCCAGGTACTAATTGATCGTATCTCCGCGCGCGTTTAATAGCCGCACGCGCTTTTACCGCTTCGGCGTAAAGCCGACGCGATCCGCGGGCAAGATCGCGGACAGCAATCGCGCGTCCCGATTTCGCCGCGGATCAATTTACCTAACAAGAACGAAAACGCGATAAAGCGGACCGTTGCGAGGCCGCGCGAACCCGCAATTAGCGTCCCCGGTAAAACCGTCTTATAATCGCTTAATAAGCGTTCGTGTGCAAATAACATTTACTAATTGGGCATACACGGGGCGTCACGTGGCCGGGGCGATTAGCGCGAAAACCACGAGACTTCCCAATACGACGCCCAGCATCGCGATATTGCGCGTTCGAGGAAAATTCTCCGGTAACCGGTTTAACGACCGGCACTAAACGTCTACAGGTGTAAGCGATAAACTTTTTCCGCACGGAGAATCGCCGACCCGCTTGCTTTAATAACGCGCCAGTAGTAATCAGCATTAATTACATTGTTATTATCGATCTCTGAAAGATAGGGAAAAAAGAGGGGAAGGAGGGAGGAGGGGGGGGAGAGAAAAGTCAAATCGATTGACGTTGACTTAGGCCTGATTACATTTCCCGTGAGATCCACCGCGCGCGCGGTTCTGCGATAAGTGAATGCGCTTCGACGAGACGCGCTTTGCCGCGTTCCGCTCGCGCTCGCTTACTTTCGATTATTTCTGCGCTGTCATGAATGAGACGTCCGGTATTCGCGCCGGCTACTCGCGGTAGTAACGCCATTTAAAATGCCGGGACGTGAGATACATATTATTCGACGTGTTACCTCGCGAAGGTAGAAAGTGGCTCCGTCGAGCGCGCGTGATGCATCGCGATGCGTAAACGCTCGAGAGGAGGCGAATACGCGCGCGAATACGTTTCGCCGTTCATCTCCGCCGGTCTCTGACAGTAGGTGACGAGGGTTAAAAGGTGGAATTAGAGGGAGCCTCTCGACCGAAGGTCAAGTATGCGGACTAGCGCGCGGCCCGATGTTCCTTTCTGCATGCGTGCACGCGCGTACACGCACCGCTATCGGGCCACCGAAGCGCACGCTTCCATTGCGATTAATCGATAAACGCGCCTCGTTTCGGTAGCGAATGCGTGCTTCGATCGATCTTTGTATCTCGCAAAGCGGATATTAATCGTAGAGACGTATTTAATGGTTCGATGAAGCAGGCTGGCATTATTCATCGCGGGGATGTATGTTTTTATTTTAACAGTTCAGCATGACGTGCACATTTGTTCAGCTAAAGAAATTGAATGTTGAATGCTACCATTCGAATACTAATACGTTTAAGTTATATAATTAATTGTTTTACGTTTTAGTATTTTAGATTTTAATTGTGAGTTTTAATTAATTAACGCACGGCGTCTGGGACGAGAACCATAATTGATCGCTGAGACGTTTTATTGCTTTATGGGAAAAGCAATAAAACTCTTTCTGTTGGATTACGTCTTTTTATGAATGTATTTCTGCAATTTTTAAATAAGAAAATTTTACAGAAATATATCAAAATAATAAAAATCAATTGTCTAAATAATAACATTGGAAAGATTTTATTCAATTACATAATGCTGTCATGAATTAAATTATAAGTCTGCCAGTTAATTTTTAATTATAGAAGAGTTATTTGATCTTATTATGGACGAATGAATCTCGATGAATCATATCAAGATTCGTTCAGCCGTCAATTTTGTGGAGCCGATTCTATGGGGCGATTGAATTCAATTACCAATTTCTGTTGGCATTCAATTCAGCTGCCAAATTAAAATGCAGATAGCTAAGGGATATCTGAATTGGTAATAACAAGATTTTTCATTCTGATTTCAGGAACCAAAAAGCGAGTTGACGAAATAGCATTACCAAGAACTATTCACGATTTGCCAGAACACGTTCTCACATGTGGCCTGTCACTTCCCGGTAAGTATTAAAAAAATATACATTTATATAAATTTCCAAGAAAAAAGATAACAAAGCAATCTTGATCCTAATCGTTTAAACTTGTAATATACTTTATCAAAACTTTTTTTAAAAACGAAAGGATTTAGAACAATGAGTTTCAATACTTTTATGATTATATTATATTTAAATTGTTGCTAAATATCTATACGTTTTATGTTGAAAACCGTGGATTTAAACTCGAGATTTCACTCGAGAAGTGAAATATTTGTATAGTTTCCGGGTTTAAACACTTTTAGTCTGATAGTCGACCGCGCTTTTATCGTAAGCCTTTGTCTAGCGTCGAGGTGCTCCGCATAGAAGCACGCAATGGTAGAAATGTGCACTTACGCCACACACGCGACTTCGCGTTGCCTCTCACGTCGCGTTACAGAAGATAACGCGGTGACCGCGGAGGAGTATGCGGAAGCTGGGACACACCCATCCACGTAGGGCTCTTAAGCTCGGGGTTCACACGCCCTCGCATCTTCTACCTATTCCGTGCATCTATTTACGTACTTCGTCGAGTACCGGCGGATACTTCCCCGGCAAGTCGTTTCTTTCTCTTTTACCGCGATTCCGCCTTGTCGAGCGCGCCATTCTCTCGGCTGATCTTGCTCTTCGTCCCGCATTGTCCCTTTCTCTCCCTTTCCGCAAGGCTCAGCTGGCCGGATCCGCGGATATCTAACTGTATTCCCGTAGTTGGCGCAGTTGTTGCTCTCGGCCGTCGATTAGCGCACGACAGGAAGAAGGTAGACGATGGCTGAAAGAAGCCTGACCGAGAATTAACCTGCGAGTGTTCACGTGTTCATGGAACACGCTTTGCTTTAAATTATCATGAAAGTATAATTACCATAGAAAATATATAATGAATATAATTTAAATCTTATATTTCAAAGAGCGATATTATTTTGGACAAAAATAATACCGTTCTTATAAAGATATTTTTATAAAGAATAAAGGATATAAAAAAAAGAAATTTTAAATGTAGCGATTAATTGCGAGATATAACCATTTACCATTTATCGGACTATTTTATCATCGAACAAGTAATAGTCAGGCATTCGGTTTTCCTGGTACAGTAAACGTGGTTATCGTAGTGATGGTTATCGCGTCATTATCTCGTAATAATAAACTTGAAGTGATATTAATCTAAGCTCGATTAAAAGCAATGTATAATATCTCTAAATATAAAACGGGGAAATCACTTCATCGGATCGAGTAAACCCGCTATTTTTTTTGGCGTGCCCGACATATCGACATCGCGTTCATGTAACAGTCACTCCTACGAGGCAGCGGCGTCCCACAACGGTAACCGCGGGTGAAAGGGAAAAGCGCACTCCGCCGCTTTAATTGCAACCGAGTGTGGGATATGCGCAACTCTTTTGTGTCTCGATTAGGGAGGGATCCCTCGCGGTAACATTAACGTTAACTATCCACTTACTTGAACATGAGCTACACGCTCAGTTCGCACGCCTCCGTGTTTCTCGTGCGTCCATCCATTTATACGGCTCCTCTTCTCGTAAAAGGGCCAACGGTCCCTTCCGCCTCTCTCCGTCTCAATGAATGCACCTCTCTGTTTCTCCACGTCTGCCATATCGTACACATATATACATCGTATCGTATACTGCCATACTCCTTTTCCCGCTACCTTTTCTTTACCATCCGGTATCACCTCGGTGTTCACGCTCCCTTCGCGTGTCTCTCGTGTTCTGTTCCCTTCTTCCGCCCGTCTTCGTGGCTCGCTCAGCTGGCCGGATCCGCGTATGTCTAACTGTATCCCGTAGTTGGCGAAGCTGCCGCTTTGTCGTCGATTAGCTGACTAGTACGCGGGCAGGCAGAGACGATGGGCGACGAACTAATGGGCTCCGGCGTGCTTCGGATGGGAGAAATAAACGGTAAGAAATGCGTCGTGCCAGTTGTTAGTTTTAATTACCGTAAAATACATGTAGCACTTCTTACGAAGTCGAGCATACTCGAGATCCTTGCAAGTAAATTGCCTTTTCGTAACTAATTCGCTAAAAATGAATTTAATTCGTTAAAAGGGAATTTTCGCGATTTGCTTCGAATAATCGTACCTGATAATTCATGAAAAAAAAAAAAAAATACAGTAAATGAATTTTAGAGTGTGTCTACTAGAGAAATGAACAAGCATAAAATGCAACGTAATTTAATTTAATTTTCTAAAAGAAGAAAATTAGAGACACACTGGCACTAATTATATAAATCACTCATGCCTTTTATTTATAATTTTACATAGCAAGCAGAGAACAGAACTTCTTCCTGTTTCTCTTTTTTTTCTGAAAAAGACGTTCGTTCCGTTCATTTTTCATTGCGGATGATTTATTAAGCTAAAGCGTGCAGATTCGTTTGTAAGCAGATCCTCGCGGAAATACCGATGGCCACGCTTCGCTCGACCTACGTATCTTCGTACTTCGCATTCCCGCACCTATTTATACTGCCTTTCTTTCCCGGTAGTAGTTCCTCGCGTGTCTCGTTAGTAGGCCCCGCTCGCGCTCCTCTTTCTCCATCCATCGATTCTGCCTTCAACGCTCGACGCTCGCGGTGTTTCTCCTCGGTCTGGTCGTGCTCACTTCCTTCATTCCGCCACCTTGATTGCAACAAAGCGCAACGTTGTTTCGGTTTCGTGGGATCCCGTTGGAGCTGCCCCGCGGGGCTAAGTTTCCGACTCGTCTCGAGCAATCTCCGCGAGATTTTCCGACCGTCTCACGTCGCTCGGATCCTACACCTTAATGTCTACATGCCTACGTTGCATGTACCATTCCTCCCGTGATGCCAGTGCGATGAGAACGTAGGGATTTGCGAGAAAGTCTCTGTTGACAATCTGTCGAGCGGAAGCGAACTGTCCGTTCGAGAGCTCTAAACGCTGTCTTTTAGATAATCACCTATTGTGCAAAATGGCACAGGATACGAGGACTTTATGTGCATAATGTGCTTATTCTACTTACTCTTGAAATAATAGTGCATGCATGACGCTGTGGTCATCGTCGATAGTTTGACTAAGTATGAAGATCGGAAACAAAATTATCTTTGAGCTTGTTAAAAGCACTGCTGTATTTTTTATTATTGTCTTTAATGATAGCTGCATTTCTTTGCTTTAATAATTAATAATTCAGATTTTCGAAGATATATCTAAAGATGGTTCTTTTATAAAAAAAATTAAAGTGTTTAAATTATTATTAAATTAAATAAAAAATACAAATACAAATAAGGTAAATAAATATGTAATAGATTAAAAAATATTCGTGATTAATTATTGTAATTTTTTCAAATTATATCGCAAGCAATATTTAAATCATCATTTTGATACGAGCACGAGATTGCGTAAAGTATAAAAACATGTAACATTAAAGGCTTCGTAAACAGCTAATTTGTTTCCTAGTCGTCGTTTAATGTTACAAGTCCCCCAGCGTATGAAATAGGTCTCTCGGTACGTCATCCAAACACGCTTCCTCGTCATTGATTCTCTTCAGCCGTTCTTCAACCAGCGGCAGCTCAAGACTCCCTTGTTACATCCTCTCCTTTCTCCCCGATCATTTCCTTTCCTCTTCCCACGGATTCCCAGCCGGGGAGATCACCGGGTGCCTAACTGTAATCCCGTAGTTGGCGAAGCTGCCGCTTTGTCGCCGATTAGCCGGTCGGAGTTGTGCCGAGCCGAGCCCGCGGTCGCCTAAAAGAGGTGGGATGGAGCAGGAAGAGGAAGCGCAGGAGATCGCAGCGTCGTGCCGCGTTTATGCCCGCCGGGCAAAGAGGTGCAAGTACGACAAACGACCGCGGCCGAAGTTCAAGCGGGTGCTGCTTCGAGAGAGTCTGATTGGAGGGCATTAACGAGCCCGTGTGCACGGTGACGGCCTTTACGGCGTCACGTATTCTCTTGTCGTCGCTTTTTCCAACTCTTGAACAGCTCTTCGAACAGGAAATCTATAGAAGTGACTGTAGGCGCGCGATAATTTTTGCGATTGCTCTAGTTTTCGCTTAATTAGATCGAATCGACGTGCGAAATGTTTCGAACAATTGTCAAGCTCGGATGTCTGTTGACTCAATCCTTCGACTCGATTAGGCGTAACTGCATAAATTATTGATAAAGGTTGCTACGTCAGGAGAAATCACGGCTCGGTTTATGCCAGGAATCGTAGATTTATAAAGTAGCTCTCCGCGTGGCGCGTACACAGTCGCAGTAAGTGATCAGAGAGTGTAATAGAATCCTTGAGAGAGGAAAATTATACAGGGTGCTTCGTGAAATTTTCATTGAATTTTATTGATTTTTTTAACACACTTCAGTCATTGTTCTTCTTGCGCAAGAATTTAAGTTGTAACAATCTCGAAGGTTTATTCTGATGTTTTATTGTTTAATATTAAAGAATAAGCTTATACAGGTGCAAGTAGCTAATAATTACATATATATTCTGCTATTATTACACAAAACTTAATTGTGGAAATATTTAATATTAAACAAAAATAGCATTTTATTAAATACATCTTGAATAAAAAATTTGATACAAGAATTATGGAACACTCTGTACGTGACGTATCAGTAGGATGTAGTAGTTGGATATTCTTGTTAAATTAGGTGAAGAACGAATGATGTTTGTTCGAGCAGCGGTGTAAATTATGCCATCCCGTACGTATTTACACGTGGCATGATTTACGGTTTTATGCAGGTCGTACCGTGTCTGCGGATTGTATATGTGTGCGGGGCAAGACGATTGCCCGCGTCTCTTCTTCACGGGGTTCAAACTAATGCGCAGATCAAACTGATTCGCCTAACTCGAACTCGAGCACGCCGTGTGCTAACCCATCGCAAGTCTTGTGAAAGCGGTCGGCTGTTTATGACCTCTCGCTCGACGATAAAGTCGTTCACGGCAGCATACCGCCGTCGCGGTGACTTGGCCGAGACTAATCTTCGTCTGGCGATATGCACACAGACGGTGAATCGAGCGTAATACGGGATTATTTAAGCG